TTTTTTACATCTGTTGCTTCTTGTTTTGTTGGCAGGATGAGAGCCGGCAGGTTGACCTGACATCTGACAGCAGCTCTGTGGATTCACAGCAGGAAGATCTGACATCTTCTAAACCTCTGGAGGAAAAAGCTTAGAGTTCCTCATTATCCGTGACGTTAATTAAATTATATTTTCAGACTCTAACTCCTTCTCTTGAAGGACTCTGTAAGAAGGCATTTATCTATGAGGAGCTGCATATTTTTAAATTTTCGTCCTGTTTTGTGTGTGTGTGAAAGAGGTGGACTCCCGTTGGAGCATTCAGGGACGACAGCAGCTTCACTGCCCTCACCGCTGATATTCCTGTTTCCAGACGTTGTGATTGTTGAAGCGTTTTGTCTCGACTAAAGCTATAAGCTGACGCGTACCTCTATATTTCTGTGTTGTTTAAATATTTCCGTATAAGTATCAGAAGTGTTTTAAGCCCAGCTTCACCATGAGGATCTTTGCCTTAACATGCAGCCCAGTTCTCAACATTATTGTGCCAAATAATCTCTGCTGACTGTTTATCCTTTATGATTCCTGATGAATGATGTCTGATGGATTTATAAGATGATTATAGTTAAATCCAATATTTCACAGAACTGTAGACTGTAAATATAAACTTCAATCCTGTTAAACTGAATATTTATCACTTTTCAGTCTAATGTGTGAAACAAAATGTTTCCACCAATCAATTTATCAGTTAGGGTTTTTTTTGGGTGAATTTAATCAATTAATGAATATTTGTAGTTTTTCTTATTTGTACGATTGCACTCTTCTAAATGATGTAGAGAATTGGTTAAAGACAGAAGTCTGTAAAGAAATTATAGATTTTTTTTTTCAATTTTTATTTTTTTGTTAACATGTTTTGTCTTGAAAATGAGTGATAATCGGTGTTGTATGAACATGGAGAAAATATTTATTACATGACATTAAAGCAGAATTAAACATGAATAATTAAAAACTTTATTCCCTAAATTTATTTTGTTTCTAACCAATATGTTTTGCTCTTAGTGGTATGTTTATATGACTGGAGTATCTGAACATGAAAGTATACATTTATAATTTAATTCTTGAGTTTGAAAAGTAAAAAAAAAAAAAATGTTTTGAGAAATTTTCCAAAACTCATAAGATGGACTAAGAAATGTTCATGTTTTTTCTAGAAAATGTCTGAAATTAATCTCAAAATATGAATTTTTCTAGCAAATTTTTGAGTTTTCAAACTTGGAATATTTTTTTATTATTTTGGAAGAAAATTTCTGAGATTAACCTTAAAATTTCTGAATTTGTTGGTGGAAATTTACTCTTCATTTTTTTTATATCTACAATGGTAGAAATTTTCCCCTCTTTCTACAGTGACCCTAACACTCCATACAGCTTAGTTGAAAATAAATAAATTTTATTTATTTATTATCAGCTAATCGGCTCCCAAACTAAAACTGCTGCAAAGTAAGAAATAAACATCAGCAGATCAGGAAATTAACAGGCGCGATTAGCAAACAGAACTCTGGTGTGATGGAACAGAAACAAACAGAAATCAACCCTGGAAGTAAAACCTAAAACAAGGAAAGAGAAATAAAGTAAAAAAAAAAAAAAACAGGCAAAGAAAGTCCCTTTAATCAGTGAAAACCTGCTCAGGAGTGAGAAGCTGGCGGCAGCAACGCAAACAAACTCCACTTTGTTCAAATATTTGAGCGGCCCGCAGCATCTGATATGTGCCAGCTCACGTTTATAGCGCTCCTGTTGAACACATCCTGCTGTCAAGGATGTGAGCCTGCGGGTTTGTGTTTGAATGTCACTGATATGACGGAGCAGCAAACGCTTCCTCTCTCAACATGCCAGCAGCGATGCACCTCACTGTCCTGCTTTCCCTGCTCACAGCGACAGCCTGCCGTGGTGAGTAAACCTTTCTGTCTGCTAAATTCACAAGTTTAATGTGCCGAGAGCTGAGTTTTATTTTTAAGTCCCGTTCAAGATGCAAATGTATGCAAACAGGAAGAGGGACGTTCTGAAAGCTTGCTTGAGGTGGTTGTGTGGTGCAGGGTGTTTCTCTGTTAACAGGAAGACGTCGTTTTCAGATATCAACTTTTATCAAAGTTTACCCATTTTAAACTGCAAGTAATTAATCAGGTTTATATTTATAGTGTGTGAACAAAAGTAAAGATGTGGTTGGTGACAGTAATATTGGTTAGCGCTGTCTGTAATGTAGAGGCTGATGTTTCTCAATAAGCACAACTAAGTAAATGAAGTTATAATAGAAGCCTCTGAAGTGGAAAGTATGTCAGTCAATGAGGAAAACTCCTGCCTCAGAGTTCTTTATATGGTTTATAAATGTTTTTTTTAATGTATTACGAAATCTTTACCAGTTGTTGATATGTTGTGAAATTAGTATTTTCATCAAAAACAGTCAAAGCAGCCAATCCAGAAGCGCCAATTGTTTTCCTTATCGCGGATTGGCTGAGCAAAGATTAGATTTAATAATTTTCCGACACTGAATTTTGGGTTTTCATGACCTGAAAGCCATAAGAGTTGAAATTACAAGATTAAAAAAAAAGGGGATTGAAATATTTTGCTCTGTCAAATGAATCTATTTAACATCACTTTTACTTTCTCTAATAAGTGACTTTTACTTTTATAAGCTATTTAAACGTTTTGAACTTGTCTGTTGATCAAATAAGGCGAAACAGAAACTGGCCTGAAGTTTTAGAACATGTGTCAAACTCAAGGCCCAGGGGCCAAATTCGGCCCGCCATGGCTTTTTATGTGGCCCTTTATACTCCAGAGAACCTTCAAAGAAACAGTTTTGTGCTTAAATACTATTTTATCAATCAAATTAAAGCTATTTTCATCTGTATGTGGCCAAATTACATGACTGTGAAAACATGTTAAATATTTAATTTTAAGAAGTATTTTCGAATGCAGAGATGATTATTTATTAATATTGTAATAGTTTGTTATTGGGTCTCATCAATGTATTCCTCCCCAACCGGCTCTTTGAGGTGATCTTCATGATCTTGATTTGGCCAAAATGAAAATGAGTTTGCCAGTTTTATTAAATCTGTTACTGATTCTATCAAAGGGAGTTTGTTTAGAGCAAGTTGACAGGCTAATTAATTTAACTAGCCAAGAAACGTAGGATGTTCACTTTAAAAATACAGGAGAGGCATAAACCTTGACTTTGAAAACAATCATCTTGTATAAACGAGGTTTCAGTTTAGGCGCTCTGGATGAACCTGCAGCCATTTTAAAGCGAACAGGAAATATATTTTTTAATGATTGAAATGTCATTTAAGCTCTCAGCCCTAAAATTCCAATGATTGTTTACGAAGATCAACCTGATCAATAAATACGTAATCACATTGTTTCTTTTTGTTTACCTTTGGCAGGGAGCACAGTTTCCCCTACTGTGACGGCTACGACTGCTTCCTATGCTACCCAGAGCTTAACAACATCATCCACAGTGGAAACCTCAGCCGTCACACCCCAGCTTCAAACGACGACGCAGACGACCACCAACCTTACTTCAGCTTCACCACAGACAGCAGAGCAGACCAGCCTGAGCAGCGCTACCCTGAACACAACGGTCACGGTCACCCAAACGTCCAATGAGACCGTCACTCAGAACCAGACGGTCCCGCTGACATCCGAGTCTCTGAATGTCACAGCTGGTACCTCAGGAAACAAAACCAGTTCAGGTCAGATTTCTGTGTGGACTCAGATTTATTCTGATTTACAGGGTTTTTAAAGAGGAGATATTATACAAAATTCATGTTCTACACATTTTTGTACTTCCATTTGGGTTTCTGCTGCTTCTAAAAACAGCCCAAGTGCTTTAAAAAATAAACACACAGTTTTTAACAATTAGTTCATGTTTTTTGGTATCTTTAAAATGACCCGTTTCAAAAACTTCCTGAATGTAACATCACAAATTAGCAGGCACTCCCCCTCACCTAGCAACCCCAGAGAAGCCCAGCCCATTACCTAGCAACCCAAGTAGAGCTCAGCATGTTTGGTCAGCTGGTTTTACTGCTGTATGCGCTGTACAATGGCTGCTGGAAACGACAAGTGTTTTGTTGTTGACTCACCTTTTAGAAACCACTTGCTATATTCTTGTTGGTTGTGCAGGAAGCTCAACTTACGCTTTTCAAAGATGTATAATTGTGCATCTGTTTGCAGTCATTTTTACGTGCGAGTTTAAACATTGAGCAGCAGCTTATTTGGATTTAAAGTGACAAGATGCCCTAAAATAGCTCAATCTGGAAGGAGCTCAAATAGGCAGAACAGAACTGACCAAATCTCATTATCTAAGATTGATTTTGTGTAAAAAAGGCAATGAACATGTTTTTTTAACCCACAAACTTATTCTAACCTGTTCAAGGAAGCAATATAGGTCACCTCTAAAATTAAATCAACTATAAAATAACTTTTAACTAAAGCAAGTGGCATTGGAAACAGTACAGAAACCCAACAGGAAATGTTGCAATTATGCAACAACATAGATGTTGGTTTCCAACCAACTACAGAGTTTTGCAATCCACCCACAAAAGACACACAATAGATCTAAATGTCTCGGCTTATTTGACCTCCAAAGCTACAAACAGATGAGCTGAAAGCAGCTGCAGAGCATAAAGTCTCCAGATCTACTGCTGATATCCCAGAAACACCTCAGGATATTCAGAGACATTCTGTGTCTAAGCCAGTGTTTCTCAACCCTGGTCCTCACCACCCCCCAGCTCTGCATGTTTTAGATGTGCCTCTACTCCAGAACAGCTGATTCAAATGACTGCATGACCATCAAGTACTGCAGAAGCCTGTTAATCGCCCAGAGATACAATTCAGGTGTGTGGCAGAAGGGAAATACCTAAAACATGCAGGACAGGGGGGCGGTGAGGACCAGGATTGAGAAACACTGGTCTAAGCCATGACTGGTCAGAGAGTCAAGCATGTTCTACCAAACACTTCTGGAAGAAATGTCTTTAGCAAACAGTTATTGGGAAGTAGTTTCAAAAACTAGGATCAGGATCCCAAGAGCTGAAGAACCTTTGAGGGAAACTAAAAATGTTTCTATAGCCCAACTGTAGCTGTAATTGATTGAAGAGATATTGATGGTAGACAAAGGGCTAAAGCTTTGATGACACAGATTCAGTAGTGGCAGCTTATTAAGGCAAAGACACACCAGATGTGCTTTGGCATCAGAAAAAATGATTGAATATGTAAGCTCAGTTTATTATTCAAATTCATTTAATATTTTTTCTGTCTGAGAAAAACCAGCAGCCATTAACTTGGAGTAAAGAGAATAGTTAATAGTGCAGCACTGTGTTCTCCTAAGGCATTTTATGTTCTTCAGAGGCTGGAATAAAATGGGAGGTAAGGAGAGTTGGTATTATCATATTAAAAAAAGACAAAGTTCCTTTGTAGTTCAGGGTGTGTTTTCCTTTTTGCTCCTTTTTTTGTCCTTGCCATAATCTTATTGCTTTCTCCTATGGCATCTATCACAATAACTATCCAATATCCAGTCATCCAATGTAGGGCATGACTTTAGTAAGATATGCAGGTCTTTGGCCATCCAGTGGCACATTTCATTTCTGAAGAGTTGGCAACACTATGCTGAGCAAAGCAGACATTTTTTTTCTTCCCATCCCCCTTTTCACTTAACTTATTGACATTTTTCTTGCTACTTAACCAGTGCAACTCGGTCTTTGGTACAGATTCTAAAATATTCAGAAATCCCGAATTTAGGTTTTGCACACTGTTAATAACTTATTAATTACAGTTTTTCTTTGTGTGATTAACCTCAAATCTTTCAGGCAACAAGGAAAATTACAACTTGGCAGAAAATCCTGGCCTGGTGGCCGTCATCTGCATCTTTACTATTGTCTTTGGCCTCTTACTGGTGGTTATGATGGTGAAATGCGTCAGATCGTCGAGGTCCGACTTTGAGAGGCTCGAAGACGTTCCCATGGTGAGCCCAAAGCCGTTTTGATTAAAGCTTTAAAATAGATTTTAACTTATGTTTTCCAGTAAAGCAGAATATACAGCTTTGCACTGCAAAAACACAAACACCAAGTATTTTTGATCTAGAGTCTAGTTCAAATACTTCAGTATGCATTAAATAAGACAAAACTAACTTATTAGTGATTTTTCAGCAGGATATAGAGCTTGTTTTATGTAAATAATTCCATAATATTAATGAAAAAGTACCAGGTCCACTGGCAGATTATTTTACTTATAACATGGTAAATGTGTCTTCTTATAAGTACAATAACCTGCCAGTGGAAATAAATAAATAGATATTTACTTAAAACAAGTTACTATATCATACTGAAAAGTTACTTGTCTTATTGCAAATGTACTAAAATATTCTAGATAAAAGTAGACATACTTTGCTATAAGATTTTTTTTTTTTTTGCAGTGTTCACGTGTGTGAACACTGCAAGCACGTAAAATTGGTTGAATTATACCAACTACATGTTTTTACAGTGTTCACACTGCAAAAACACAAAATCTTACCAAGTATGTTTGATCATAAAATAAAACTAGCTTTCTTTTCAGTGACATATAGAGACTTGTTTTCAGTAAATACTTATTTAATATTGATTAAAAATAACTAGTTCCACTTGCAGATTATTTCACTCAAAACAAGATATTTTTTCCCATGATATGTGTAAAAAATCTGTCTGTGAAAAAATGCTTTTTTAAAATCATTATTCAAGAATTACTGACTTGAAACAATCTCCTATATCTTGCTGAAAAGTAACTTGTGTTATTTTTTTGTCTTATTTTAAGTGTACCAAGATATTTGCACTTGAAACCAAACAAAAACACTTGGTAAGATTTTGTGTTTTTACAGCGTTAGCCAAATTGCTAAAAGTAAAGACAACAAAACACTTAAGCTTTACAAAATTGGCTGACAATGAGGGAAAAAGAGTTTCTGTTGAATTGTTTTCTGCGTTTTAAAAGCGGTCGTGTTTCTTTTTCTGTTTCTTCCCTGCAGCAGTGAGCTCACTGGTTTGCTACTCTTTCTTTCCGCAAACAGGAAGTCTAAGGGCAATCGTCTGTGTGTGTGAAAATATCTTGTAGGCCACGATGTGTGGTGAACGTTTGATAACAGAGCTTTGTTTTTTCAAAACAGAACTTATCAGCCTCCCATCAGTTTGTCAGCAGGTATTCATACTCTGTCAGCATCCTGGAGTCTTCACATATTGTTTCAGATGCAGGATCAAGCAGGGGGTTTCTCTCTCCATGATGATGAAATTAGACTCATTACTTCAGCCCCAGTGAAATACCACTGGATGTCACAACCTAAAATAGTGCAGAATAATTACATTTATTCAATCAAGCTAAAACGGAAAATGCGTAGTGTTGGATTTTGGCAGCTTGTCTTTTAAAGAGTCTGTTTTGTAAGTCTTTATTGTCCAATGACAGTAACTGCAGTAAAACCTTGTCAGGATGTTGTGCTGAACTAGAACAGAGTGCACTTTACAGAGAGAACAACACAAAATACATAACCAACAGTGGGGGCCACAGAAAAAGCTGATTCTGCAAATTGTGCGTGGAAAGATTACTCCCTGAGTTAATAAATGACAACAAAAGAAGGAGGAAAAAGGACTAACGGTAAACGTTAGTTTATCCTATAAAGTTTATCCTATCAAGGATAAACTATATCCTTTATAGCTGGGAAGTTTATATACAATAATGTTAATGCATTTTGATACTCATGGATTAAAAAATATTTTAAAATGACTCTTTTTATTTATGTTTTATTACCAAATGTCATGCTGGAAATTATTTATACTCTTCTCAGAAAAAGAAGAGTATGTGGAGAAAAACTCCCACTTATAATGGTTTATGTCCAGAAATTTCGCGCATGCGCACAACGTCAAAAAGACGATTATTTTACATCCTGCCCGTAGTCGCGCTGCGTCGGTAGAGCAATTCCGTTAACTACATGAAACCAGGAGATGTAGGTATGATTAATTTAGTCACAGCAAAGGGGAAACACGTTAAAGAACAATTCAAAACCTCTTTTTTCTCGCTCCTCTGTATCGGTCATCACGCTACACGCAGACCCGTTGCCATAGCAACCGACAACAACGCCACTCTATGTGTCCGGATCCAACACCAGAAAAACACTCAATCATTCCCCACACAAAGAACAGAACATTCGGTTCATTACAGTTTTATGGTTTTAGGTTTTATGTTTATTCTGCGATTATTAATAAGTGATCGATTAGCTACCGCTGCTATTAGCTAAGCTAACAGCGGTGGTTGATTAGCTAATTTAAACATTTAAACAGATCATCAGCTTTACTGATGATCTGTCAGAGTTGGTGCGTGGGTCGCCATTTTTATTTTTTAACTAAACACACCACATTCTTTCTTTCTATCTATCTATCTATCTATCTATCTATCTATCTATCTATCTATCTATCTATCTATCTATCTATCTATCTATCTATCTATCTATCTGTCTGTCTGTCTGTCTGTCTGTCTATCTGTCTGTCTGTCTGTCTGTCTGTCTGTCTGTCTGTCTGTCTGTCTGTCTGTCTGTCTGTCTGTCTGTCTGTCTGTCCTCATCCAGTGTTCATACTGTAGACAAGCACTGTGTCCCTTTTTATTTTATATATGTGCATGAAAAAACTTTAGTTCTTATAAATTCAACAATGCAAGTTGTCAAAAAGATCCATGCTATTCAAACATGCTACAGCAGGAAGCTCTAATGATAAAGACGTATTGTTTGAACTTCTTTTGCCTTTTCTCCAGGGTAAAGTGAACGAAGCCTCTCCCTTCGCTCAGTACACAAAATGACAGAAGACTCTTCACTGGACAACAACTCATCAACAATTGTTTCTGGGCTGTCAACAACAGTCAGAAGGGACTCTAAGTTTAAATATATAATCGTAAATTGCACTTTTGTCAATGCTAATGAAATTGACTAGATCAACTTTGACTTGATTACTTAGCTGCTGGTAATTCACTTGATTCAGACGGGGACTCTTAATCAAATAACTCTGACCTCGCTCTGCTTTCCTTTCTTTTGAGAAGAGAATTAGCCTAAAAAAATAAATGAAAACAGTGAAATGTATCCTTAAAATCTTCAGTTCTACATGTAGACTAATGTAATCTAAATGCACAAAAGCCTTTGGGGGGAAATATTTTATTGTGGCCTCTGACGGGTTTTCTTCTAGGATTTCCATTTATCTCCATTCTTCTTTGGTCACATCAACTCTGATCAGTTTCCTTGTATCTGCTAGGCAAACATTCCCACAGCATGATGCAGCCACCACCAAATGCCACTAATAATTTATTATCTATTATATTTACTAATTGGATTACTTCAGTAGTTTGCCATGGATTTCTGCAGGTATAGGAGTAAAAGTGGCAGAATACAAATGTATGTAAGACTTTCCACATTTTAGTTTGCAAGAAAAAAAACATTTTTTTCTGTTTCCTCTTTTGCTCTGTGGTACTTTTTCTCCATCACATAAAATCCCAATAAAAACAGTGAAACATTTGTGGTCGTAATGTAGCAGAAAGCAAAATGTTAAAGACAAATAAATAATTTTGCAAGGTATTGTATTATACCTATATAATTCTATAATGTGTTTTGAGAATTTAAAGGTAAAGATAATGCTGTGCCAGTTATTGTGACTGACAGAATAAAGATGTTATCAGTTTTTCAGATTGTTACAAATCCAGGCCTGTTTTTTCAGGCAAAAAAAAAAAAAATCTAATTATTAATCTGTGATACGATGCATGAGTGTTTTGGAAGTTAATATCGTATTATATATGCAATAAAAAGTGTAGTTTATAGCTACTTTTAAACTCGTAAAGGCTTTTTATTACCTCAAATCCTAATGGCTTTGCTCTTAAACTCAGATGATTTCTGTCTTTATTTTACACCTCTAAATAAATCCCATTTAATGTTAACATTATTTTATTACTGGCATACTGTAGTATGTTGCTGCTGTAGTAATGACTTAGTGTGAGTCAGGGGTTTTAATAAATTGCAGCTGTTAAATGAATTAATGATTCCTGCATCATCTTTGTGCATCTGAGGTTAGTAGGTATGTAAACATACCAGAGGAGCCACCCGATATCAGTCTGTTGTTTTACCCCGACCACCCCCACCCATATGTTAGCGTATCAAGTTTCCCTGCATAGATAACTCTGCAACCAGAGATAAAGCTTGCTGGCTGCAGGATTACCCAAAAAGGTCAGAGAAAGTGAAGTTACTGGTAGCTGTGGTCAAACTGGTTCAGCTTATAAGGCTGCAGCTTTATTTGTCACTGAGAAGATTGGAGACTAATCAACTGATTGTGTGGATATTGTGCAAACAGAACCTCTAAAATATTTCATTTTAATTTTTACTTCATTTATTCAATAATAAATATGAATAGTTCATCTAACAAGTAAAAGAAATCATGAATGAAAAAAATATCTTCAGATCTGACTATAGAGCGGATATTATAATAATTAAAGCATTTCTCTGTCACACATAAAGAGAGAACATTTTATCTTGGATTTATTTTTATATGAGATCAGCTCTGAGTAAAAGGTTTTATTTACTTCAGACAGTGCAGATTAATAATTTCTGTCAATATGCCAGCGATTAAACAGAAAACTATTTTCAACTGCAGTTATCCTCCAGAAACTGAAGTAAAACTACACCACTATAATACACTTAACAGAAATGTTTTACAAATTGTTTTCATTATAACTATCCAAAGAAACAAGGCTCTATTTAGATTAAAACTAACACTGCATTGCAGAATTATAATCTGCTGGTTTTCCAAATTTATGCCTACAAACGAGGAATTTGATTTTGCTCCCAACATAAGCATCTAAAAAATAAATGTTTTTTCTTACTTGCATCTGTGTATAGTGTTTTTAAAAAAGAAGAAAAAAGTTGAGTGTTTTATATGTCTGTATTAAAAATCCTTTCATCTGGGTTTTATGAAACATTAAGTATTAGTTTTATTAGACATACACCATAATCATTAGAATAAACACTTAAAATATCCACACAGGCGTGTTAAATACATTGGAATATTATTGAAAATTCACTTATTTTAGTGACTTATATTCATATAGATTTATTATAAACAGGCAAATATTTAAGTATTTTCGTCTGTTAGTTATGATTCTGCTTGCAGCTAATGAAAGTGACATTCAGGATTACATCAGACTAATAAAGTTTATTTGGTTTAGCACATTTCAGCAACACAGAAGGTGTAAATGATTTACAGCATGAAAACATTAAAAAAATAACATATAATCAACAGTTGCGAAAACCAAGGACAGACATTACATTTTATGAAGTTTCATCGCTAAAATGGTAAATATTCCATTTATTATGGTTCAAAAACAACTCTAAATAGTTAGTTTTAGTCTAGATTTAAATGAGATTTGCAGAAATTTGCTAATGCTGCTTCTCCATGTGTGTTTCTGAAAATAAAACAAAAAAAAAACTAATATATAAATGCGGGCTTAATGAAAAGCATGTTTAGGACTAGCATAAATGTATTTATTTTCAAAAGGTAAGTTTAATCTGACGAGTAAACATGTCTCTCCTGAATAACAGTGGACAGTGGACACAGAGAGAGAGAGGGAACCGCAGAGCGGACCTCGTGCTCGGCGTAGTAAAATTGTTTACGTGCCACAGCTTCTTGTCATGTGACCATACGGCCGACGTCACAGTGACGGCACCGGGAACGCAGCCCGGGTGACAAGTTGCAGAGTTTGAAGTCTAAAGTTACCAACTTTTAACTGCAGTAATAAAATGGGACGCGGCGATAAGTGCAGCAGTGTAACCTGACAGTCACCTTCAGAGCAACCAACTCCTCCAGAGGGAGAAACTCCTCCGCCGCCGCGGTGAGTGAAAAACGGCTCGATGAAACTTTCCTCCACTTTAAAAGCAGAGGTGATGGGACGGAAGATGCGCTCAGTTAGGAAGCTCCGCTTCTTCCCTGGCACCGTTTAATTCAGTGCAGATGTTAAAAGATGCAATAAAAATACAGCTTCTTGTTTAGAGTTGCCAGGTTTCACGTATTGTAATGTGGAGTTCGGTTGTTTTCTGTTATTCATCGTGACGCGTCCACTTAAAATGATTAAAGCAGCGGTTACCGCAACACCATACCAACACACACACAGTAAATACAGCTCTGGAAAAAAACTAACAGCTCACTGTACTGAACCCCACTGAAAACCTCATGGTTATTCCACCAAATGTTGATTTCTGAGCTCTTCCTGAGTTAAAACATTAGTATTGTTGTTTCTAAATGAATATGAACTTGTTTTCTTTGCGTTATTTGAGCTCTGAAGCACTGCATCTTTTTCATTATGTTGACCATTTCTCATTTTCTGCAAATAAATACAACATTTTTGCTTGGAATTTCATAGAATAATAATAGTAAAATGTTCATTTTACTCAAACATATACCTGTAAAGAGTAAAATCAGAGAAACTGATCATTTTAAGTGCTCTCTTAGTTTTTCCAGAGCTGTGTGTATATACAAGTGTGACACGTCTTACTAAAGAATGTTGAGAATTAATTCACTTAGGTTTATTCATACTGGCTCTAATTCACAACAATGCCATATATATGTTTTATTATAAAATAAACAGATCTGCTCCGTATGATCAATTCAGTTACATAGATTTATTCAGATAAATTCCCTCCAGTTTGATTATAATACAAAGTAGTTCATTTCAGTGTGGGATTTTAACTAGCAATGTCAGTTTTAAAAAAATTGATAAATTAAGTTTTTAAACATACAGTTATCATGACCGAAACAATGAAAGAAAATAACTTTACATGTATTTTACATTTTTATATAGAATATTTAACATGCATGTAATCATATTTATTAGATATGGCATGGCTGTCGATATTTTAGTCAATCAGCGTATTTACTTTGCAGGAATCCCTCATCATACATGTATAAATATCTCTCATATTTAATGTCCTTTCGGATCCATAAAGTATTTTTGAATTTGAATTTGAATTGAATTCAAATCCCAAGCAGGCAATTTTGAATGTTATTTTCACGTGGAAGTTTTAGAAGTTTTAAAAGGGAAACATTAATAAGTAGGTCCTTAGATGTCAGAATTTAAAACTGAAATTTGTAGGTTCTCTGCTAATCTCAACCTCAAAACTCGTTATGGCTGCCTTGTGTGTAAAAGATGGTACTTGCAGCAGTAAATATCTGATCTTAAAAACATAAACACCCCTTTTTAGTGAACATCAATAGTGTATGATTATAGAAAATGCAAATAAATATGCTATTATTATACTTTGTTGTCATTCCCAGGTCCAACTCAGAAAAATGTAAATACAAACATCACAAGCGATTCTTGTTTTGCAGTCAATGTCATTCGATTCAGGTTGTTTTGGAAACTCCTAGAAAACAAAATCCTCATCTGAAAGTTGAATGTTAGAAGAATTCATTGTTTTTCAGTATTTATTCAACGTTGTAGTTTCTCAATACACATTCCTGTCTAATTTTTGTCAAATAATCTTCAAGATGTTTACAAAGAAGACGTTGCTGCAGACACGGTTGCATTGTTTCCGAGTTACTCACTGCAGTAATCCCTGTTGGACTCTTCGGGTTCTGAGTAAACCAACATGGAATGTGTTTCCCCAAAATATTTACCCATCCTCCTCTCCTCCCTTTATCTTCTTCCTTCCTCCATATCTGCTTCCTTCACTCCGTCTTCGTGACCCCTGGCAGAGACAAAGAACATCTTCTCCGCTTGACAAAGACGAACGTTCTGCCTTTCCTTTCTGCTTTGTTCAGAAAAACAGATTGATGTTATCTTTGCGTTGTGTGTCTGTTTATGTTTCTTGCTCACTTATGCAAGAACAAAGGAATCTGTAGATCATTGATTACTATTTTTTCTGATTGTGGTTTAAAGTCGTTCTTTATTCCATTATTTTTGTCTTTACCTGTGAGAACTTCTCCTCCATCCATCATCAGTTGGAGCTATAGACGCTTTCTTTCAGGGATTTTCTTCTACACTCACAGAGGAGTGACGTAATTTTTCAAACGGCCCCAAGCGGTTTCCTCAGTCTGACCTGTTTTTGTGCCGTGGGAAACTTAAAAAATTCTCAGTGTCATCAGTTTGACAAATGTAAACAGGGCTGACCGTCCCATCATCCCTTTGCTCCTCCAGTAGATGGCGCTCTGCTCCAGCGCTGAGCCCGATTCCCTTTTCCGCTCCGTTCAATTGTCAGCATCTGAGATCTGTTTGAGATGCAAACGTGTGCAGAGGCATGCCTCAGTTTGCCTTTTGTCTGTCATGCATGACTCACTGATAATATGTCAGGGAAAAACGGGTATTTGTCTTGTCAGTTCCAATGAATTTACCGCTGAGAAGATGACTAAGCTTTGATTAAATAAGAAAAGATAAAGACCTTATTGTAAGATTGCCATAGGAAATAGATTTATGAGTAAAATGTGGAGTTTATTGTAATTGCAGCTCTGAAGGTTACTTGAGGTTGTTTTCTGTGTGTATTTGTATGGATATAAGGTCAGAAAGCTGATTATATGGTCGGTTTCTGGGAGTTTAGACGTAAAACTCTGATATTATTCTTGGTTTAAAGCTTAACTTTGGTCAATTCAACAATCATTTCATGAGATCTTTGAATATTTATGTAAAAAAGTGTACTATTAGGCAATTAGTTGTCATTTTTGAATACAGCAAGTCATAATGAAGCAGCAAATTTCCTGAATGAAGGCCAGACGCTGGACCCTCCTGGCCGGGCGGTTTTATATTTCATACTTTGCTCTAACCCCCAGCTGCCATATCTATATTGACTGTAATGATTCATGGAGGCTTACGTGAATGGCCAATGTGGATGTAAGGAGCAAGTGAGTCACATTTTTTTCTCTGCATTGTGTTTCTGGTGCAGCAGTACTTCTGTGTAGTTCTTATCAGAGGTTTTTAACAAGTAAATCAGCTATCAACTGTGCGTCACCGTAAAGATGGCATCAAAGACGTCTTGAGATTTCACCCCATACAGT